AAAGATTAGAAGTTGAGATAAAATTGAGATATTGGTAAGTGCTGCATCTTGTAGTTGTTGTAAACATATTTTTAGGAATGATGAATTAAAATTAGAGTGGTTTGGATTTTTTTGTAAAGTTGTAACTAGTGTTGAAACCTGGGCTTGTACTAGGTTTGTTAATGCATAGATATCTGGATTAAATAAAAAGGAGTTAGGAACCTCTTGTGCCAGTCTTGCTTTGTGTTTTACTAATTTTGTACAGCTTCAGTTAAGAGAATTAAATTGTAAAAGAAAAAGAAATATAAAGTATAAATGATAGGTAAAACATGGAATAATAATGCTATTTATAATATAAATTGCTTGTTTCTCTGTTATATTGACAAATTGTAGTTTTTTTAGATTGATTCTGACTTCTGCTATTATTTCTTTTTGTACTAGTATTGGCTTTTTGTTGATTAAAAACCATGTTCCCAGATATTTAAAAGGTATTTTATTATTAATTGCAACTAATTGTTCATTATCGAAGATTATTAAGTTTTTTAAGTCTAATGAGTTTGTAATTAGAATAAATTTAGATGTATTGACTTTTATGTTAGCAAATTTGTAAAAGGATGAGGTAGTATTTAGAATACTGATAAAAAATGTTTTGTTTAGTACAATCTATAGTGAGTCATTCATATATGCTATTACTAAGATATGTATTTCCTTTGTGTTTAAAGAAAGGATTCTACTAACAAAGCCTTGGTGTTTATTATGTATTTTTGATATTAATAGATTATAGTATATTTTCTAGAAAAGAAGTGTGATTGTTTCTTCTTGGTTAACTCCATCTTCTACATAGTAGGATGTAGTTAGGCCTAATATAGTATTTACTTTATTGGTTTAGTTTGAGAGCAGGTATGATATTAGGTTTATAGCCTTATCTGAAATATGTATTCTTTTAAGAACCTTGCATAGTGTAGGTATATGGATTGAGTCAAATGCTTTGAACATGTCTTAAGAGAAAATCCAAATTTCTTTTTTGTTTGTAGTTGCATTTTCTAGAATTTGAGTAAGTTGTAAGATTGGTTGTAGTGTTGATTGATATAGAAAGGCTGCAAAATTATAAGGTGAGAGTGCTTGATTACAGATTAGAATATTAGTTAGTCAATTTGTTATAATTTTTGTAAAGATTTTTTTGATATGGTCTATTAGTATAATGAGACAAGTAGAATTAAGTTCATAGTTATAGTATTGTTTTTTTGAGATTGGCCAAACATTAGCTTGTAATCACTAATCTGGAATAATCTCTTGTGTTAAACAGCTATTAAGAATATTTAAAAGATAGAAGAAGGCTGATAGAGATAAATGTTATAGAACTTTATTTGCGATTTCTAAAGGTTCAGTCATCTTTTCTTTGGGTGCTGTTTTTATTGTTTATTTTAGTTTTGTTATAGTAATTGGAGAGAGGAAGTTTTTGTAGATGTTGTCTTGAATATTATTAAGTAATAGATATGTTGATTCCCAGTCCTTTTAGTTATTATTATTTGATGGATTATACTTGGTTTAGTTTTTAAAAAGTAGTTGTGTTGCTTTTTTGATCTCTTTTTTGTTCATAACTATTTTGTCAAATAAGATAATTTTTTCAAAACTGATAAGTTCTGCTTTTTTTTTAGAATGCTGTCTAGCATATGGCTAGTGTTATCTTTGAAGTCTGAGTATTTACAATTTGTAAAGTATTTAATTCATTCACTTTGCTCTTGTCTTTTTTTAAAATTGCATGCTTGCCAAATTGTATGTTTATATTGTTTTAGTTGTGTTATTAAGTTAATAGAAGAGAAGTCTAGTTGTATTTGTGTTATTAGTAGAATATCAACTTCTGCTAGAGTGGTTGCTCTTGATAGATATTGATTAGCTTGAGTTAAGTTGTTTTGTTAATTATTAAAAAGAAGGCATAAACATTTGTTGATATGATTTAGTACAGAGTATAATTTGGTTGCTTTTAATGAAAGTGCAAAGAAGGTTTTTGAAGCTGTAAAGGTATATGGAATGTGGTTGTTCATTGTTTTTTTTTAATTTTTGCTAATCAAAAGTTTCAGGTTTTGTTTATTTTCTTTTTGTTTATATTTAGCAAGAGAATATTCTGTATATTAAAGAGAGTGCTTAAAAAGTCTTCGAAATTATTCTAATCTTCTAATATTATTTTTTCAAATTAATATATTTTTCTTTTCTTTTTTTTTGTTTCTGGGGTTTTTTGTGAAGAAAAGTTGATATGCCAGGTTGTATATAGGATACAATAGTCACTATCTGAAATATATAAAGCATTGATTAACAATGAAGGTTCAAAAGCTAGCAGTATGTTTGAGGAAGTTCAGAAAACATCTATTTACTAGAAATAGTTGGGCTATGCCAAGTAGGTGTTTGGATATTATGAAAAGTTAAGAGACTGATTAAGTTGGCTGCATTTATATTGGTAAATATTAGCATATGTTTGTCTCTATATTAATTAGTATTAAAATTGCCTAGTATGATTATATGCCAGTTTCTAACTCTAGCTTCTGTAGTCCATATTAGTACTTGTGATTAAGTACATTTAGAAAAAGATATATAGTTTAATAGAAGATATGTTGAAATGATGCAAGATTTGTTATTATTAAAGAAGAAGAAGTCAATGCAGATTGCTGTTTCAGAAAGAGTATTAATTTTGTGAATATATAGTTGTAATTAGTTACAACTATTAAAGCAGTTCTCAGGCTGGTTTCTCATTGATTTGCTTTATATAATATAAAATTTGAGATGTAGATTTTATATAAAAGATTGATTAATGATTTTAATATTGTATCTTTTAGTTTAGTTTCCATAAGAGATATTATATGCAGGTTTAGTTCAGCACAATATTCAATTTACATTTGCATTTTTAGTATATTGTTACTACCTCTTATGTTCTGGGTTGCTATGTTGATTTTTTCATTCAAGTTAAATTCAAGTGAAGTTAAATCATCTTTGTTTTTTACAGCTTGGATATTATTATTATTATTAGTTGTTTGTAATAGTAGGTTGTTTTGTATATTATTGTTGTTGTTGATATCATTATTAATGTTTTTGTTTTTATTAGAACTGCATATAAAAAGGAGCATTGCTAAAAATATCTCAAGTTGGTTCTAAGAATAGTGGTAATTGAAGTAGATAGTTAGGTATATTGTTGACTGTAATGTGTTCTCTAAGTTTGTTGGGAGTTAATTTAACTTGGTTTGCTGTACAATTAGTAATATAATTTCTGTAATTTTGATTTGTTTTTCTATAAGTGCTTGAAAGATTTCTTCACATGATTGTAGCAAGTCAGGTTTTAAACCTGACTTTGTTTAGTTGTTAAATGCTTTTTGTATTTCTATTATATTTTATTTATTCATAATATTAATCTATGTGTTTGGTAATTTATAAAAGAAGTATGTTTTTCTCAGCAGTTGAGCTGTGTCAACTAGTTGTTTTGATGTTCTGATTGGTAAAGTAATGTTATACTCTGTAATTTCTTTTGGATCTTCTAGTAGTCTGGGTTTTTCTGTTAGGTTAGCTGTTATTATCTGTGAATCTAATAAAATGCTGAATCTATACATTAGAATAATTTACAAACGAATTCTTTAGCTTTTTGGTCATTAGTGATTAGATATTCAAACTTTGTTTTAGTTTTGATTTTGGTTATATTTGTAGATAATTTTGGTTTATATTTGATATAATCATTTGATATGACTTTAAAGATATAGTATTCTCTAAGCATTTTGACAATTTTTTCTATTGTTATTGATGGATCTTAAGAATTGAAAGAAAAAAAATATCAGATTCTTCTGTTTAGTTTATAGTATATTGTAGATAGGCTTGGTTTTGGGTTAGATAGTTTGAAGTATGCCTTTGAAATTCTATTAAAATTATAGAATTCCAATAGTTTTTGTTTGTATTCTTCAAGGTTTTAAAGTTTCTTTTTGTCTGTAATTGGAGATAAGTTTCTAATAGCAGAATCAAGATCTTTAGGATCATCTGAAAAAGTTCTTTTATTTTAAAGTAGTTTTTTGGTAAGATATCAAATTTATATATCTTATATAGAGCAATTACTATTGATTTGGTTTCATATCTATGTGTAATTGGTAGTTTATATAGAAGAAATTGTTGTATTTCTTCTGGTATTTCATATGAATAGTTTGGCAGTACTGTTTGAATGTTATTTAGTGTTGTTCATATGATTTCTTTTATAATTTGTAGGTCAAATACTGGTTCACTTCTCATAAATCCTTTTGCATATTTTATTATTTTGGTAATTTTGTTTTCTGGCATTATATTGAAGTTGCAGTTTGTAATATAGTCAATGATAATCTTTTGTCACAGCTTGGTTTTGATGATCTTTTGTGTTTGTGTATTAGTAATTGTAATGCTATTAATTAGTTTGTATTTTTCTATATCACATTTAAGTAATGCTTCATAGTTTTCTTGGTAGGTTGGTTATGTTGTTTTGTTTCTAGTAAATGTATTAAAAAAAGCTGTATCTAGGTACTTGATTTTTGTATTAATTGTATTGAGTATGTAGAGGCTTGTTGGTTTATGTATTAATTTGTATTCAATAAGTTCTTCTATTTCTTCTTTTATTTGTAATAGCTTAAGTATTTTATTATAATTTCAGATTTTCATATTGAAAGATTTATTAATTTCACTTATTAATTTATCTTGTATTATGTTAATTTATTGCATTTCTATATCCTCATTATTGCTTTTCTTGTAATATTTTTGCTAATAATCTGACTATATGTAAGTTTATGTCTATGTTTATTTGAATTATTAATAAAGATAATTACATGTGATTGGTTGTTCTATTACATTTTTCCTATGTCTATACATATCAGCCAATTTGTGAAATTGGCCCTTTTTTTAGGTCACTCAAATTATTATAAATAATCAAATTTAGGTCACCAAAACAATATTGAAATGTTACACAATTTATAAAATATTTATACTATATAAAATACAACATGCATACATATATACTAATAATTATGATGCAGATTTTGTGTTCACTATGCTAGCACAAAACTTTTAAAAATAATAGAGGTTTACAATTACATTGGCAAATAACTCATCAAATTAAGGATAATAACTCTATTCAAATACCTATTTCTAATTCCACATATATATTTTGTAAGCTATGTTCTAAAAAAAGCTACAATACCCAAAAAGGCTTAAATCGTCATGAAACAATAGCTCATTCGTATTATAATATACCACAAGTTGGACTTATTCCACAACCACCAGAAGCAATTATTGAATTTAAAAGCCTGCTAGTTCATATGATACAAACCAAATTAAAAACTAGTGTATGGGAAGCAAGATGACAATTAGTCCCAATTTCATGTTTAGAAAGTCAATTTATTAGTGTATTTAATGAATATATTAACCAATATTCATCAAGCTGTGAATGGTATTGATGTATCTTTACAGGAACTAATGCTTATAAAAAGTTAGGACAAATTTTCGAAAATGAAAAATGGGGATTTGAGAATATGAAAACAACCAACAAACCTGGGTAATTTTAAATGAATCAGAAAATGAAAAAACTAAATATTTAGAAATTCAATAGGAACACAAAGAAATTATAAATGCAGCAAATTATATATCAGGTGCTGGCTATCTTTTTATTTGGTTTAATATTACTCAATTTTATTTTAAATAAGAATACTCTTTTTTATTTAAATAAATAAGTTCGAACACTCTTTTATTAAATTTTAAAATAAGTAATTCAAATTATAAGTATAAAATCATAAAAAATTATTAGAACAAGGATCTATGAATCTCTTTATTAGAAAAAATCATATTTTGATTTAACAGGTCTTATATTTTATATAATTTGTTTATCTAATCAAATTGAGTTACTAGTACTAATTTTTCATAAAAAATAGCTAAAACTCTAATCGATAGAGCAGTTGTGTTAACCTCATTCCAAAAACCAACAGAGTTTCTTTGTTTAATTCTGAAATTACTACACTTACAACTGGATAAAGAAATTATTATAGAATTTATTAAAATAGATTTCAACATAATTTTTGACGTATTTTATGCAGGTATTTAAGAGCTCTTAAAGCATTTTACTTAAGACTTGTTGGAGAATCATTATTAAATGATTATCGAAAGTTGAGAAAACAAACAATAGGTAGATTGAATTCATTATTCATTTTTATATGTTAAAGAAAAAAACTTTTAATAATGCCAATAATACTAATATTTCTCATTAATTTTTCTGCATTCGCTCTATTTATTTCATTTTCTCAATTCATATAATTAGTCTGTCTATGTTGGTAAGCCTGTAAGAAATACAGCTGCAAAGTTTCTATAATTGGCAGCTGTTCCTCGTATCTTCTTAATTAAAACAACTTGTACCGCTTCATGTAAAAAACATCAAATTTTCAGCAATATGGAGTGGGATACTTACACTTTATATTATACTTTAGGTGTACAAAAACTACTACTAAAGAAGAGCCTAGTACTAAGATACCACCCAGATAGAAATCCAAATGCTACTAATCAGGTTCATACTTTATTAATCCTCTACTGATTAGGACTAAGGTATTAAATCTTACAAGTACCATTGTACTTAGTAAATGTATTAAAATATTTTATTTTATTTTTTAACTTATTTTATCTTTTATTAAAAAAAAATTCAAGGTATGATTACTCATACTTATGAAATCTTGGGTGATCCAAAAAAAAACATTAAGTGTATGTTAAATATAGAAAGATAAAAATTAACATGTTGGATTCTATAGCTGGTTTCTGAAAATTCAAGGACCATTATGCAATATTTTCAATTCTGATTATTCTTATAATCCTGTTTTTCATCTTATCAATAAGAATAAATAGTACTATATCATGAAGTTATGAAATTGCATTCATACCAATATGGATTGAAGATTTTATTTTATTATCACTTCATTCTCTTAATAATGAATTCAAGTCACAGAGAATAATGAACTAGTTGAATCACTCATAGCAAATAATTCACAAAAAATATCATGATTGATATATAAAGTATATGAACACCATGAGTTCTGTCTAAATGCATTACATGTAGTTTATATCTGAACAAAACCCTCCCAAAAAAACCACAGTTATAAAAACTTTAAAAATCATTCAACCAATATAGTCTAAAAAGTTTTAAAATAACTTGACTAAATAAAGTTTTTCACTAGCTATAATGATTTTAAAAAAATTTGACTGAAATATAGTATGTAGATCTTAAAAATAACCAGACATAATATAGTCTTCACTTTGTTATAAGAATTTAAAAACCAAAGTCTTTACCCACTATAATAATTTTAAAAACTACTATAAGAATTTTAAAACCATCAGATTAAAATGTTAGTCTTCATTTAACAAAAGTGGAAATTCAGTTTTACTTTTTATAAAATATAGTTCATTCACACAGGTATATATTTTCATATATGCCCATGAAATAACTTTCAAAAATGCATAGGTTGTTACATAAGACCTGTATGATCCATACAATAAATATAATTACTGAATTATCATTGAGCACTATTGTAATCATTTGCAAATTTCCAAAATTAATAAAATTAAGACATCACTCTATATTCTTTATATTTTGATCTCTACAAAGACTATAATAAATAAAATATTTCTTTTTATTTATTACTTTAATATGGTATTTTGCCAACTAGTAATCTTACAGCACTATCATCCTTTAATTTATAGTAACTGGTGTAAAAAAATAATGAACTTTGCGCTTACCAAATTATTATTAGTTTATATGATATTATAGAAGTAAATATTTTTTATATAACAAATAAATAATAGTATTGTATATGCACTTAAAGTAATTATACACATAAATTTATTAACTTTAAAGATCGACCTTTGCATTATTGTATATCTTTAACATTGATAGTTGTAATCTTTTCAAAAAAAACAGGTATGTCATGTAAAAAGAAATATAAATTTCTGTTTTTCTATTCCATAATTTCAATGATAGCTGATTTGTTTATATTTTTACCTCCATCATCTTTTAAAGTTTTTTGAAAAAAATGTACATGTTGATAATTTTTCTTCTGGACCACAGAACAGGAAAAGCCAATTAAACCAAAATTTGAATGAAGATTTAAAAACTTTGAAATATGATAGACCAAGATATGAATATAGAGAGTAATATTATTTGGCTGATAAAGTCCTCTGACAAAGGTTTGTGGATGATTCAGATTGTCTAAATCAAAAAATATAAATAGTTTTGTTATAACAAAAGCTTGTAAAGAATATAATTACCTAAAGATAGGGTTAAAAATAGGTTTATCCATTCGAGTATTTTTTTTTTAAACTCAATACCATTTATATGCTACTTATGCATATCTTCATAAAGTTCATTAAAACTATTTCATAATTGTCAAATTAACTGAGCATGACTTTTGTTTAAAAATAATAAATCTAAATTGAAATTTTGTAATACTTTTAGCTTGTCTATTCCTGTTAAAGATGTTAAAGTCCATATTTTTGTGTTTGGATCTTCTGACTACTTAAAATGAACATGAATTTGTAGCATTTCTTGACTAATTATATTATGTATTCTAGAATTTTTAATATCAATCTCTAAAACTAAAAGTAACCATAATCTGTCTGTTATTTGCAACATTACATGAAGTTCATCAACAACCTAGTGTGTTAAAGAAATTATAGAAAACAAGAGTTTATACTTATATTTAGCTATTTTATAAAAATTAATATTTAGATCTTCTATATATTTAGATATAGTCTAATCATATTTTTCGATTCTATTTTGTTTTTTTTTAACTGAACACCAAAGGCAAAAATCTTTTGCATTTGCTGCTTTATGTTCCAAACAAATTGCTAAAAATTTTCAGTTAGCTAAAAAATATAAGCATATATTCTATTGATGTTCTTTATTATCTAAATAGCCAGATTTGATTTCATCTAATTTTTAAATTAATAGAGCTAATACAGTTTTTAAAGTTTCATATTTTTCAATACCAGGATATATTAAAAGAGTATAATGTTTTTTAGGATAATAGATAGTACTTAAATCATTAAGCAGTGCAAATGTGATCATTATGTGATTTATTTTTTTTCAACATTATACCCATCCCCTGAAATCCTTATATGTAAAGTTGAATCTGATAATCAGAGAACTCCTTTTTGAACTAAAGAAGGAATAATATAGGACAAAATATCTTTTAAAGACCTATATGCTGCCTTTCCTATTGATTTTGTAACTTCTTCAACTATTTCAAAATCATCAATATTTATACTTTCATTTATTTCTAAGTTAGTTTGTGAAATATTAGCATCTAAATTAATAGTTTGAATTGAAATTGCTTGTTGCATTTGATTATCAATTTGTTGCTTCATTTTGAAAATTACCCACTCTTTAGATAAATTTTGTTTAATTTTTGTAATGACATGATACATATTACGAGAAATATGCTCCTTATCTATTGTATATACAATGGCTAATACTTTTAGATCCTCATTAGTTTGCTGATTATATATAACTCGAAACTGTTGCTCATTTGCTGAAAATATTACTTCATTTAGAATTATTTTATCACTTGAATAAGATATTGATTGTACTTCATTATAAAATACTTTTGAAAAAAAAGTTGCTACTTTTTTATATTGTTTATATTTTATTAACTTGCTTAAATCTTGAATAGGCTTAACACTTTGAATTGTTTTTTGTGTTTTAATGTTATTGCTGTTTTGAGAAAATTGTGATCATTTAATTGTCTGAATATAATCATTACTTGTTATATAATCAGGATCTTGGTCAGTAAACTTAATACATTTATGATATATTTTAGTGGTTGAATCAAGTTCTAATATTTTATAAAATCGAACAGGTAAATTAATAAGTGCATCTTTACTTTTTGTTTGTTCTTTTTTTTTAGTACTTTGCTTATATATATTATGCTTTGGATGGGCACAGTATTCGTTTAATTTTGTTTGATGTTTTTGATAATAGTTTTTATTAACAACTTCATGATTATAATGTGTTTGGCAAAAATACTTTCCTTCTAATTCTTAACATCATTCTTCAGAAATTGATGTTGAAAAACTGATTGTTCTTAACTCTCCTTTACATAATAGCTGTTCTTCAGACATACTAAAATAGCATTGATGCACCATTATAAAAGTATACTGGTACATGCTGATTATCAAATTGTGTTTTTTATGTTTAGTGATATGACTACACAATTTTTTTTTCAAAAAAAAAATTTTTTAATTTTAATAACATAACTTTAATTCAATAATAATAATAGTAAATACTGTAATAAAATTTACTAAAAACTATTAAGCTGTAGCAAATTTTAAAGTATGAGTGTTGAGTAGAAGATCTTTTTATTTAAAGGAAAATAAAATAAAAGAAAAGAAGAAATATAAAAATAAATGAAATAATAACTAATTAAAAATAACTAAAAATAAAAAATAAATATTTAAAAATGGAATTTAAATTCAATAGCCTCCTAGATACTATAAGGAGCTTTATGATAGGCTGGTTGT